CAGAACTGATCTTGCTTTTCTCTTAGTTATTGTATATTTGTCCTGGAGCACTGTTGATGCTAGTAAATTCTCATTTGTATCAATGAAATGAGTAGATATTGTGCAAAAAGACTTAGTAGGAAAAGAAAGGAGTATAGTTTTGCATGAGAGCAGGACCTATTTTTGTCTGACAGGGAATGGATTCATTAAGGAAATGCCTTGTTTACTTTACTCTTAGAATATAATATTTTTAACATTATCACAGTCATTTAGGAAACTGTGTCCGTGATGATATTACTACCCAGGATTAATGTATTAATCATGGATTTCTAAGAAAATCAATTGTACCATTTGAAATATTATATTTAGTTTATTATTTATTACATTTGAAATCCTTTCAAGAAAACTAGAGTACCTATAACAGTTTGCTATTTTCTACAGATCAGGTATTTCCATTTTTCTTGAATGATTCTTTTAGTTACTACCACTGTTTATAGCAGAGACTGTCGTCAGTCAGTTAAGCCATAGAGTCCAGAGCTAGGGACAGACATTACACATAAACCAATTTAAGTGATCAGAAACTGGGTTAAACCTGTATCAGAACAGATGTTCAGTGCACATAAACCAGTTTGAAAATGACTGAAATTGGTTTGAGATAAACCTGGTTGAATGATAATAATCAGTTATCAGACTTAACTGATTAGGTTCAAACCAGTTTATGCAATGTCTGTCCCAGACCACTTCCTGGTTTAAGTTAAATCAGAGTCCCCCAGCATACTGTGTAGGATGGGCAGGGCTCTCTGCTCCAGAGAGCTGGGCTGGCCCCTCCCTTCTGCTCCCTGGCTGCAGCTCTGGCAGAGACTGCAGGTACAGTGCATCTTCCTGATTTCCTCCTGCATCCCCTCCCTCACCACTGCCTGCTGAAGCAGGGATTCCCTTTGCCTTATATAGACACCTTTCAGACACCTCACACGATGGCTATGGTCTGTGCTGTGGGGACAAAGGTAGACATGACAGTGTTGGTCTAGGGCTTTTTGGAGCTAATCAACAGGTGGCTGGTAATGTCTCTCCATTGGCATGGGTTTCCCTGCCACGGAGTCCCCCTTGGCAGGGGTCTCTGTCCTCAAGCTCAGGTCCCTACCCACTCAGGTGCCCATCTCTCATAATAAGAAAGACTAAGCAACAAGAAAATAATTGTGTGCTGGGCACTCTGCTCTGCAGTCTCCTGACCTCCCCTCACAGGTGCTTCCAGTCCACTGGTTGTTACAAACAAAAAATAAAATTCCACTGGGATCTAAACAGTCCTTTACAAAACTCTCAACCCCCCTGGGTACATATGAACAGTCCTTCATTAAATCTTCATTCCTCCAAGTGCATTCACTCTCCACAGGCTTTTCCTGGTGGATTCATACAGCCAAAGTCACCCACTTACCTGGAGGAAAGCCTGTATCAGGGGTGGGCAGTTATTTCAGGTGGAGGCCACTTACCAAGTTCTGGCAAGCCATCAAGGGGTGCAAAGGTAGCTCCACCCCCTGACAGGTGCCCAACCCCCGGTCACCATCTTGGGACCAGAAGTCCCACCCCTAGCCCCTGACGATTGCCACCAGAAGTCCCTCCCCTTGCCCCCCCCCCCCCGAAATTCTCCTTTCAGCAGGTGTTTGCCATCTTGGAACCAGAAAAATACCAAATTATATTTTACAGGTGTGGGGGGAGTGTGTATGTGGGGTAGAGAAGCATGTGGGTGTGTGTGTGGCTATGTGGGATGTGAGTGGGTATGGGATTTGTTGGGGGAGGGTGGCTGGGGAGGGTTGTGGCATGTTGAGAGGGGGAGGATTTGCCCACAGCCCTCCTGCAGCAGGCAGTGTGCCCACCAGCACTCCTCCAAGCCCCGGCTCTGTGCTCCTGCAGCTCCTGCCCACAAGGCACTGGTGTGGCCCTATGCTGCCACTCACCAGCACTGCCCCCCACATGTGCCACCGCTGCCCTTCTGTCACTTCCCTGTTCCTTCCCCCCCCCCCACTCTCTACTTTGGCACCACGTCCCAGCTGCACGGCCAAGACCGCAGGACATGGCAGGAGCCAGACTGGCCAGGCAGGCTCCGCATGGGGCCAGCTAAAAATCGCAGGGGCCAGGCCAGCTCCTGCTGCGTCCTGCGGCTCGGCACTGCAGCTGGGAACCATGTGGTGCTAGAGCAATCAGCGGGGAGTGGAGGAGTGTGATGGCAGCCTCAGGCAAATGGATGCGGCAGGTGGGAAGGGGTGGCAGTGAGCAGGCATGTGGAGTGCAACAACAGCTGGGAGGGAGTGTGGGCTCATGTGGTGTGCCAGGGCCAGGCCCAGAGCAGGGTGGCAGGAGCGCGGGGGGCTGGCCCGGGCTCTGCCAGCAGGGAGAGGGGGGAGCTGGCTCAGTTCCATAGAGCCCTGCCAGCCTGGCCCCGTGCTTCTGTCACTCCACTCTGGGCCCCTGCTGGCCCTGGTCCTGGTGCACTGGTGTGGACCCCACACTCCTGCCCAGATGTTGCTGTGCTCTACATGCCCGTTTGTTGCCCCTTCCCCCCGCCTGCTGCCGCTCTCAGTGCTTTCTTGTCTGTGGCTGCCACCGCTCCTCTCAACCTCCCTCCCAGCACCCACTCTGGTACCGCATGGCTCCTAGCTGCAGCCCTAGGACTGCAGTAGCTGGCTTAGCCCAACCCTGAGGACTGGGGTGATTGCCTGCAGTTCTCCCCTGCCCCTGCCCCGCCCCCCACTTCTTAGCTGGATG